ACAAACTAGTAATAACTAACAAGGCTACAGGAAGACAGTCATGCCTCACTAACTACTTGATATTTTGTTCTAGTACTATAGTAATGCACACGGGCATAGGCTGACATCATTTGATTGGACTTTTAGAAAGTGTTAAAATTCCACATTACAGAATGAGGTCTACATTACAATCCCCCACAACAGAGGGAGTATTTTTTCATTCTTACAAATCAGCTAAGCAAGAGAAACAACTCTATAAAAGAAAACTTTCCCCATTCAGAAACACCTTCTAACGAAATCCCAATTGCAAAGACCAATCAGGGAGACTCTAGTATTCCAGTATGAATTCAGTGACCAGTATGTGATTAAAAGAACTATCAGGAACTAGTCCAAAACAAAGAAAACGACACACGGTTTTCAAATTCTAGGCTATCATTTTTATATCTGTTAAAAACATACGGCAGTTATATGAGTAATCCATTTATATTTGTTACCAATAAGAGGGGAAAATACTGCAGTATATGCAAAAACTGATACTAAAATCAGTAATACTAATACAGTTACTAAAACCTAAGCCCGTCTTATCCTAGATTCCAGGTTTATTTCCAGAATAGGAAAATAAAATGCCCCGAGAAAACTGGTATCAATTTAAGAATCTGAACATAAAAGTCTTACCTCAAAGGAAATAATTCATGTTCCCAAACGTTCATTTCATTCAAGCTAAATCTGCTATTTGCTCTGCCTTTCTTTCCTCTCATCTTAATGCTGACTATCAAATTTTTCCCTGCTCCCGTAAATGTATCTGTACGGGAAGATACCATGTGGAGTCTTGCAGAAGTCTGCAGGGGCTTTGTACATGTGTCTGGCCAATGGCTGGCCCTGGCTGTCATAGGACCTGTGTCATAGTTTGTTCTAAAACACATACCAATAGCTTTTTCTTTCAACCTGACTAACCATCTGGGGTTGAAGGGCTTTAACCCTTCCTAAGAGTTCTGCAGTATGCAATTCTGAGCTTCATGTGTCCACCACCTATTACAGAGGAGATGGGCTTACAGCATGGTACAGTCTTATGTTGGATTGATTGAAATCATCAAAAAAATTAATCAAATCCCATGTAGCTCTCCTATTCAACTAAAAGGACAGAATGGATCCTGACCAAACCCTAGGTTGTACAACGTGGTGCACGCTCCATTGTAGGCAGGGATCCCATGTGCTAGGATAACTGCCTATAATATTTCATTTCTTACAGGGCAGGGGAAAAAAAAAAACAACCCCCCCCCTCAAAAACACTTACCAGTTTTCTACATTCAGTCTGCCAAATGCCACCTAATTAGTTCATTGCCCTCTTCTTTCTGTTTACTCACTAGTAATCATGAACCATCCAGAAGGTTCACTGAAGTTTGAAGCAACAACAAAAAAATTCAGAATAAATCCAAATGGCAAGAGGTGGCAACTTGTTTGCCAACCCAAAGCTAATGGCAAATGTAAAAGTAACAAAAAAAAGTTAGGGAAGCGGGGAGAAGGGAAAAAAGATGATGAAAAAGAGAAAGAACAATCAAGTGTATACTTGGTGAAGTCTCACAGACAGGGCCCAGAGGGAATACTTGGGGAAACCGGTCTGCATACTGCTCTGAGCTAGAATGATACTTCTACATGAAAGCTAGTGCAGTCTGAGCAGCTATACAAAAGAAGTACTTACTTTCCATGAGTCCTACTCTTTAGGTGGTTGACCATGGGGTGGGAGAAAAACTCAGCTCTGTTTTTCCCACCTCTTACATTTTTTTCTTTTCTCCTTTTAGGTGCATACTCCATAGTCTCTGTTCATGAGCACGCACAGACATACTAGGCAAGAAAGGAAAATGTTGTTTATTGCTGGGTTGTATATTGTATGTTGGGGTAGGATGACAGGCCTCTTTTTGTTCCAAAACCCAGTTTTATTTGCGCACAATTCCCTATTTGTGAAAAAAATATGTTTTTCATTATTTTCTGTCATGGCTCCCAGATGCCTCTGAGCATGGGCACTTATAAATAAAAACTTATTATTGTTTCTTATTTTGTCCTTGAGGAGGGAAACAAAAGGCAGAGGGAAACAAAATGTGAAACTAAATATAAGAGCAATTAAAAAAAAGTTTGTCATAAATATGCTGCGTCTCTAGGAGGGAAAAAAAATCCCTCTCCCCTAGTTAACTAAGTTTATTTCTCCAAGTTGCTGGCTTACAACGTTCTATTGCTCAGAAGCATCAAGAGCGCTTTTAAGCTACCTGTTCTATTACAGTTAAATCAGGCAAGCATTTAGAAAGCCCTCACCTTGCCTACTAAGGGACATTGGAAGAAGCAATCTATCTCCGCAATCTTGCATCTCCTTCAAGCACAATACAACGGTTTGTATGCCTATGCCCGGCAACATAGCACAAAAAGGATAAAAGGGAGGACTGCTTAGAAAAAAAACAAAACGATACACAAAGGTCTAAAGCACAACTCTGGCAAAATTCAGATGAACAAGTCCAATAAAGTAATCTAAAAACCTTCACCTAAGTACTTAGGTGCAGCTGAGAGAAGGCTTCATATTCTGGCTACTGTTCATACAGGTATTGTCACTTAGGCTGAACCAAGATTTAAATTCCTCCCTTTGACCTGAGGTTGCTTGGCATTCACAAACTAGGCAATCCTGCACCTAACAATGAATCAAGTGCATTGGGAGATTTAAGTATGATCTGAGCATGCTTAAATACAAAGAAAGCTGGGTTTGGCTCAATAAACCCACAGCCATTTGCATTCACAAAACAGCTCAGGAGGCAACAGTAGTACTCCCTGTATTTTATATCTCACTTAGGAAGTAGTGAGAAACACGGGTTCAAGGCACCTTTTTGCTCCCACTGTGGGAGCAATTAGGTCACCTGCTGTTGCTCCTGTTTTAGCTGGTAATACATCAATCACAGAACTAGATGATGACCAGCTAAGGTGGGTACAATTTATATTTACTCTCAGTTGCGAGATGTGTTCTTGAATATTTTTAATTTTTAATCAATGAGTGTCTAACGTGAAGCACACAACAAAGTTCAGTGAGTAGGAACCCACACCTGTCCCCTGCCAACTGAATGCCATAACCGTTACTTGCCATCGGTCTACTTCCGGTTTGCTTGCTTTCCTTCCCTGATGTTACAGGTGTCAAGACAGTCACCAAGGAGGCAGAGGAGAAACCTGCTGCACCAAAGATTATATTCTCTTTCACAAGAGCAAAAAATGGGTTTAAGAATTCTACAGATTAAATGCCAAGGTGAAGAAGGGTAGGTCCCTTTCTAAGTAACTACCATCGCTACTGGAATCAGTTCAGAATTGAAAGCAGTTTTTGAAAACAATGTCTCCAGTAACATATGAGACAAATAAGACACAGGTAAGAGACTGAAGTGCAAGCCTAATGACGCTTCTTTGATTGGTGTGGCATACTGACAAATATTTCCCCCCAGCACGCACATAAACTACATGGACAGCCATTCAAGCCTTAAGTGTTTTGGAAGGATGCATATCAACTGCACAAAAACCTTACTTTGTAATACTTCTACCATAAGAATTACTTTATTATCTTTTATTTCACATTTGCTGCTAATATCTTTGTTTCTTCATATCTCTAATTTTTTCCTTAATATTTTGAGCTTGATTAGATCAAGATCATTTAAGTCCTCTATTAGCCTCATAGTTTAATAGGCAAATATTCTGTTTCAACATCAAAACAAATTAAAGCATGTACTGAGTGCTTTTGTGACGTGATCGTCCTATTAAAAATCAATCACTCCTCAACAGGTACGTGTATTATCTTACAGTTGAAGACACTAAAAAAATAAGCAAACGAACAAAAAAAAAAAAAACCACACACCCATCCCCACTTCCTCAATCTGCTGTATGTTAAACCACAAATAAAACATACTCCTGACTTGTGCCTCCAACTAATCTTGTGCAAGTCGTATCAGGAGTATAAGTGCAAACAAAAAGTAACATTCCACACCCTATAAAGCATTCTACAGAGTTAGTTACTTGGTGATGAATTTCAGTTCTTACGAATTGATTTTTTTTTTTTTTTTTGGGGGGGGGGGGGGGGGGGGGGAGAAAGCTTCTTTTCTGGGTTTTTTTTTTTTTTTTTTTTTTTCTCCCCCCTCAGTTAAGGAAGTTACTTAACAAATAACTCAAGTTAAACATTGTGTCTCACAAAATTAGGCACCTACAGCCAGAGTTCACCTAATGATGCCACTGATTCAAATACATAATTCTGTTACATTCACTGGGCCTGATTCTGCAGTAGTTTTATTATAAACAGATCAAAATGAAGGCACATAAATAACTATTTAACAAATATAGATTGCACGCATTTCACTAGTGTAATTTATATAATTTTATACTTTCAGAACATTCATAAATTTTCTCTTTGTTAGGTAATCACTCAAATACTGCTGAAGTCCATCTGGATGTTTTACTTGAGCTTCAATAACCTTCTGACCATTCAGCCAAATCAAGCATTATTGAATTACATTCCACAAACGTGTTCTAATAATAATACTAACTGATAAAAGAAAAATATGCCACATGATCATAAAGTTATAAAACAATTTGTCAGTAAGATCTGTACTTGAACCCATGGGGAGTCATGATGAGCTCACAGGAACACGTACACAGACACAACAACTTCTCACACAATCATTGCATTTTGGTTTAGCTCCAAGGAACGTATGATGGGCAGGAGGCAAAAAGTAAGTGGCAAATAGAAGAACAGAAGGCAGAATTCACAAAAGTCTGATTTTGGACTCCTCTACAGACTTATCACAGGACCAAGATTAGGCTTATGCTTTGAATCGCCCACTACAGTCACCTTTTTCTCCACCAACCATACAGAGCACTTTGGGAGATGAACACCCCCCATACCCCACAGCACTTGCCACTTAATGGACCCTGATGACACAACGCCCTCACACAGTAAAAGAAAGCGTATTACATTATTAACAGAGAAGGGAAGTAAATTAACAACGTACTTTTCATGGTCCCATCTTCCTCTTCATCATCATCGCTATTTATTACCATGGTCCCCAAGTCTGATTCTAACATAGTGCTATTGTGTTCAATCATTGTCTGAGCGCCTTCACTCATCGTGCTTGTGGCCCTCATGGTACCAGCACTCTCTGAACTGGTCTTCACCATGGTGTGAGAGTCCAGCTCATCTTCGTCCTATGAAGAAATATTTATGAGAACACAGTAGAGCATTTTAAAGAATAAAGTTGCAATGCAATCACTTAAATGCTTATTCATTAATTTTGTATCTTTACATGACCTACTTGCACTGTTAGACTTCCAAGTTTAAAATAGTAATATATATGTGCACATGCAGATATATATATATATGAAATGCAAAAATAAGTAAATATTCTTCTCTCTCACATATGTATGGCAGGATGGATTTACCAGAACAGTCATTTCCCTCCCCGCTGCATTAACGTTAGCTATTACACTACATGGTTCTGGTTGCAATACAAGATGCAGCCACACATCCACTCTGCAGGAGCACACAGCTCTGGATGCCTCACTGATCTGCAGGACCCAATATACCTATCTGAGTTCCAAAATCAGAACCACGTTGTAACAAAGTGATGTGGTGGTTTTGTAATGGACCATCACCAAGCATTTGTTCCAGCCATCCCCAACTGGCCACGGCCAGGATCTTACATAGCACATAGCACCCAGATGACAGAAGTCAGTTAAATTTAACAATTTAAATTTAGATTTAGTGTTAGAACAATTCTCTGCAACAGCTGTGAAAGTCCACCTCAAAAACACAAAGTCAACGGGTTTAATTTCACGACGTTCTTTATGAAATCCTTCTTCGTAAGACCGAGCAAAAGCGCTTACTGATACTGTGGAGTAACATTTCTGTGGAGCACAAAACTTTAGCACTAAAGGGGCAGGGGAGGAAGAGCTAGTTTCTTGGGGAGATATAAAAGCACTTTCAATCAGTGGCACTAGTGCACCATGAATGTAAGGATCAGTTTATGAATTATAAACCAGTTGAATGCAGTTTATGAAATGTAAGATCCATATGGAATACAAATATTTGAAAACATTAACAAATCCTACTCCTTTCTGAAGTCAGATTTATAGCATATACACAACATCATAACAATTTGAGGAATAACATGAGGTACTATACACATTTTCTACCTGGGTAATATCTATTCTCCAAGAAAGAAAATAAATTTAAAATGTTCTCTTTGTTGTTTATAAAACAAATAATACCCATCCCTGTGAAGGCACTCAGTTTCACGCATTTAAATTTTAAATATAAGTGTTACCCTTGCTGATTTTATAACCGTCCTAGACGGAACTCGTCAGAAAAACAAGTCTGATACGCATGCATTTTCTCTGCTATGCAACAACATCTCTTGCATTCAGATACAACAAACTCTACCCCTGGTGAGCAACATATTCTAACTACACAGCTCAGCTTGAAGGACTATCACATAGCAAATAATAGAAAAACATGTTAACAGCAAACAACAAGCCTGTTGCTGTATATAATACTAAAATCACATTTCCCCCACTAACAAACTTCCCCTTTCTTTCTAAATCTTTATGTTGTTTTATATATTTTCTATTTTCAACTACAAACAGATCTGTCAGGGGGCACAAAAAAACAACAAACAAAAAATCTCTACACATCTACAGCTCTGGCCCTTTGTTTCTTACTGAAGTAGCTCCTTTCCCCTTAGTCTGACAAAGCATTCACTTTTTTGGCCTGATATATGCACAACTGCAAGAGCAAGCCATGCAGCATGAGTGCCTACTTCACTAATGGCTGGTGTAAGCAGATACAAAGCATGGTAATTAGCAATATCAGTACACTAGCTCCGAAAATTAGCTACTGTTCCCCTACCCAGAGATACGGAAATAGATCTAATCTTGATTTAGGGAGTGTGGCCAACAGCATAACATATTGACACCAGGATACAGACCTAAATCCATGGTGAGTATTTCAGATGTCAACAGAATCATTTTCCAATCACAATTTGTAGCAATATGCAAGCCCTTCACTTGCTTTCTTCCTACATTTCTCTTGAGCTGCATTCTAAAACAAGTATATTTAATACCTACCCTAAAAAACAACGGTACTCTCAAAGATTCACGGCTGTAGCTGTAAACTATTTGTAACTACTGCGCCAGCAGAGGAATAAGAAATATTTTAGTAGTGCTCCTCCTGGTGGCAACTTAAAATTTCTTTACTTTTTTTCCCCTTGATCCTACTGTTTTTCTTAAGTTTTCCCTTTTGTGAAAAGGGTACTTGGAAAGCAAAGTCTTTTCATGCAGAGCTGTCTTTCTGCATTATTAGTTAAAAGTGGCAGAACAATTAAGTAGCTGTCTATGAGTGTTTCTTTAGTACCGTAATACAAAGCAACACTGAGTCACGGTGTGCAGCTATGTCTTTCTATTAAATGCTTCAAAGAAAGTTTCTCTGATACACAAGCAAATCTTTGAGTTTCAGGTGCAGTAACATTTGATTTATCAACATGACTATGATTAATATCTGTATGCTGTACGTAAGTTCCTAAACTTACTAAAACTGAAATTAGAGATGAAATAAATGTTTCCCTGAAGCTTAGAAATCTTATTATAGAAATTAATACGAAAAATTGATAACCTTACCAATATGAATACAAATAAAATGGAGTCATTAATGGCCAGTTTAATATTTTTCCACTTCATTAAAAATGCTGGTATTTTTTAGCTCTTGTCTCAAATCAATACGTGGATTCTTCCCAGGAACAGCACTTCATTTTCCAATCTAAGAATACCTGAAAGTCCTTTTTTGGTTTGTTTGTTAAAAAAAAAAAAACCATCCTTAGGGGCATACAGAACAATTGTTACCTACTACCTAGAAGATTGTGGGTCACAAAATAACTAACATAACAAAAAGGGAAGTACACAATATTGTGTTAATCGTGATTTCTCTAGATCAGAAATGATGTACTGAGAGAGTGTGATGTACAGCTTTTTCTGGGGCTGTGCATGCTGTAAAATCATCCGTTCTGTGGATTAAGCAGGTTGTGTGCTTCCAGAATTATCAAGGCAGTATTTTTCACAAATATGAGATCTAGCTAATAAGCCAGCAGACCATACTGAATTTGAACAAATCACTTAGATCAACTGCGTAATTTTATAAAGTTATGTAAGTGCATGTTTACATAATAGAAAGTTATTCCTTAGTACAAATTATGATTTGTACTTTACTGCTCAAATATCTTTTTAAAACTTCTGATCTGTTATTAAAAAAATGTAAACTCACTGATTAAATAAAAACAAACAATATCAACTTTAACCAGGAAAAAATATAAGGTAGTAAAGCAGAAGTGTCACGTTCCCATTTTGTTTATGAAAACAGATCCAAAAATCAAGTAATGAAGACAGCTAACTGTAGCGTTACACTGGCTGCCATTCTCTTGTGTACATTAATAAAGCATCAAATTTGTATTTGACTGGGGTTTCCGATACAGCAGTATACAACAACAAAGAGCAAGAGCACATGCGAGCTCAAGAGCTAACTTCTAACAGGCTACAATACCACTTCAGTAAAACACTGTCAATATCCTACGATGCTATATGACTATGTACTTTGGATCTCCGTTTCTACCAAAGTCAAGTTAAAAGACTTTATGATCAAAATAAACCCTTAAAGTATGATAATATATTCATGGAGACACCAAGTTCAAAAAGATTTCAATGGGAACCATGTGCAAAACTTCACAACATGCTCATCACATTAAAAAAAGCCTTTAACGGGTGATGATGGTATCTTCTCCAGAGAAGACTTTCTTGCATATCATAGGTAAACTACATTATGATATAACCAAATGAACTGAAGTAATATAGATTTAAAGATTTTTCTGTTACATTTTTAACTTTCAAAGGAGAAAAAAGGGATGAAGACTGATACAGGAAAACAAGCACGGGACAAGCAAACATGGCAGCGTGCCTTTAAAATTGGTCTTCATCTATGGTTTGTATGTATAAAAAAAACCACTAGAGGACACCAAAGACAGCTAACTAGATGGCAGTGCATTAAAGGAAGATTTACATGCTGGCAAAATTTAGTATCGTGTAAAATAATTTCATTTACTATTAACACCTCATCATCACCTTTGAAAAACGTGGTTGTAGTCACAGCTATCTTTTTGTAAAAGCACTGTAGTAGCTACATAAACACATAATATAGTTTGATCTAGTACATGGATTTTTTCAAAGTTCCATAACATCTATAAAGCCCGGGCTACAACTCGAATATATGCTTAATTTTGAGCACATATTAAGTTTAAGTTTAAATCTATCAGCAAAACATGTAAAGACTTAACTTTTAGCATATGCTAAAATCCCATAGAATTCAATGGATGTGCACGAATAGTCCAAACTGAAGCTTAAACACTGGTTTATGACTATTTGCTGTGTACTTTCAACTGATGTACCTGGTAAGAGTGACTTACAGCTCACCCTTACCTCACTATGTTTCACCTTCTTGTAATACGCTTCTGGCTCTGCATTGCTGTGGACTTTAGACAACTTTTTAGGAGCATGTTGTTATGTCCCTCAGCTATTTCACTCGACAAAGTGACCTTTATGTATTTCTCACCTAACTTAAAGGATTGCAGTCAGGTTTAATTAGTACATACAATAAGTGTTCTCTAACTTGGAGGAAAAATACTATGAAAATATAAAATTTTAAACATCCTATTTGTCACGCAAAACTGTATACACACACACACACATATATATATATATGAGAGAAAGCAAGTCTACAATACTTCTGAAAATTACTGCCTAGTGTATCAGATTTAAAATACAGAATAACTTAAATAACTCACTAATTCCTTTAAAACTACTGATATTAATAATATAATAATAAAAAATATAAAATAAATATAATGATAATGAAAAATAAAGGAATACCACCACCAATTATTTGCTAAATCTCAAAAGCCAGAAGCCAGCTTCTCATAATTCATATCGATCAATCAAAGGAACTTCTGTATGAATACATAAGCATAAAGACAGGAATGCAGTACTGATAGTTAGGTCTAAGAGAAACAAAAATGGACTACTGAAGTAGTAATTACTTGTATGAATACTCTAAAATAATTAAGCATTCTCCACATAATAGAGGCATCTAAATGTAAAAGAAAACACAC